ATTAAAAATAAAAAGATATAAAAATACATTAGCATTTGGTGTGTTTACTTTGTATAGTATCCCTGTTAAAAATTTTTATTTTCTTAATGTATACATCTCTTCAGATTATTTGCATGCATGAACATCGTATCTATGAATTATAAGCTTTATGTTTTTTTCCACTCCATTCATTGTACTTTCATTTTTTTTTTATTGCTTTATTTCTCTTTCTCACCAGAGTTGCTTGTACTTTTTAAAAAATAGAGTTAGTGGTAGCAAACATTGTCATTTTTCAGCCAGACCCAGAAGGAAAATTTTCACTGTATCAGCATTAAATATAAGGTTTACAGTAGACTTTTCTTCACACATGCCCTCTGTCAGATTAAGGAAATGTCTGTATTTTCTTCTCTTCCTAAGAATAATTTTAAAAGTTATCAGTGATCATTGAATTTTATCAAATGCTTTTTCAGCAACTATTGAAATGACCATGTTATTATTTCTCCTTTATTATGTTAATGTGATCTCTAACATTGATTTATTAATTGTGAGGTTGTAAATCAGCCTTGTACTTTTGAAATACTGTTTATGAAGTATTGCCTTTTTTTATATTGTTAGGATCAGTTTACTGGTATGTTACTTAGTCTTCTTCAAATAGTTTGGTTTATGATTTAACTTTCTTTGGTTTTCAAATCAGGACATTGCTGTGTTTGCATTCTCCAGAAAAGCTTGGTAAAATGTTTTTGCAAACTCATCTTGTAAAGCCACTTAGGCCTAAAGTTTTGTTCTGTGAGAAATTTTTGATTTATGATTTCAGATTCTTAAGTGGGTGTGTAACTATTCAGATTTCTGTTTCTTCTTATGTCATTTTCCTGTGTCATTTTTCAAGAAATGTGCATGATGAAACTTAAATATATTGGCACAATGTTTATTATATCCTTTGTAAAATTTTTATACTTCTCAGATTTAATAATTTGAAATTATGACTCTTTAGAGACAGTGACTGATACTCTCCTGCAGCCTCTTGTTAATGTCTCCAGTACCCCTGTGTCATCACCTGGTAATTCGTGATAATTGTATTTTTTCCTCTCTTTTTCTCCTAAGTAGTCTTGATAGGAATTTATTAATTTCATTAACATTTTCAAAGAAGCAAACTTTGGATTCATTGATTTTTCTCCTTTAAGTTAGTTTTTTTATTTCATTATTATCTACTTTTGTCTAATATTTATTCCTGACATGATCTAGTGTATATGCACTTGAAGAGAATTTATTTTACAGTTAATCATGTATATGGTTGCAGCCACTGGGTCATACTTACTAATCTTGCTTTCTACCAGTCATTTACATAAGTGAGTTAAAATTCTCACTTTGATTTTAGATTTTTCTGTTTATTCCTAAAATCTGTCAACCTTTCCTTCATACATTTAGGACTCATGTTTTTAGTTATATCAAAATTTATTTTTTATTCATATCTTCTGGATAATGTGAACCATTATTCTGTTTTTAAACTTTATTGAAATTAATATGAGGGTACAATATTTAGGTTACATTGTTCTCACTTCTAGCATCAAGTTCCATTTGTAGACGAGCCTCTCAACCAGGGGGTGTACCTTACACCCTCACAATGTACACATTAGGTGACATCCTGCCTCATGCCCTCCCTCCTCCTGCCATACGTCCTCCCCCTTCCCCCCACTTCCCTCTACCCTAAAACTGGACTACAATAGTGTTTTATTGTTCTTAGGAACTTGTAATTGTTTCTATATTGATTTCATATTAGTATGGAGTACATTGGATATTTATATTTATATTCTTGAAATACTTTACTAAGAACAATGTATTTCAGCTCCATCCAAGTAAATGTAAAAGATGTAAAGTCTCTATCTTTTTTCATTATTCTTATAAAATGTTTCTTTTATCTCTAGGAATCCTTCCTAAGTTAGAGCTTCCATATTCATAGTAGTAGAGACAGACAGTCCACCTTTCTTTTGGTTAAGGTTTTCACAGGATGCCTTTTCGCAACCCCCATTTCCACCTTTATGTGCCTTCATTTTTAAGGCTTTTATAAGTATTATATATTATACTACTGTTTTATAACTAGTATATACATGGACTCCAGGCCTGAATTTCATGATAAGGATTAACACTTTTCACAAGCCAGTGCAGATGGGAACAAACCAGAGTGGGAATGGTGGGGAGTGTGGAAATAAAACACCCAAGAAACAATGATGGGATCAGGAGGACTGGAGCTAGCACTGAACCATGAAAACAGCTTTATTACATAGTATCTAAACAAGGTCAGTTATTTAAACAAAGTTGCTTACTAGAGGGAAATTGACGTGAATCTAGTGAGTGGAATAAAGATTAACTTTAGGGAAGAAAAGCTACTGTGCGTTCTGGCAAAAAATTGAAGGGAAAGTATGCAGGGGCTACATGACTTCTGGTAGAGGACAAAAGAATGTTTTGTTCAAGGAGGAGAAGCAGTTGGGGGTCATTCCTTGAACGTCTCCCCAGGGGGCCTTGCCACCTCAGAGCCCATACTCCACAACACTGAGAAGGGGCGGAAAGGAAGCTGTTTCTCAATGAGGTGTTCTGACTGCAGGGGAAGGAAGTGGTGTACCACTCTCCCCTGATGCTTCCTATTGTCTTCTAACCAGGTTGTAACCCACACTGTTTACTCTTCAGTGCAGTTAGCTGCCTGTGATGCAGGTTTAATTGCTAACTGAAGGATAACGTAGGTACCAGAGCTGGTGTGCACGTGAGAAGATCACATCATTCAAAAGAGGGCTCAAAGGACTAATTAGTGTACAAGGAAAGAACAAAGTTGGGAAATCTTGAACTTAGAGAACTTGGGTGTAGAAGTCCTCATACAAATAAATTAACACCAACACTATACACTTCTAATTCAACAGTTAAGTGAGTTGGGTGAGGTCAAAGGAAACAGGTGATGAAGGAGAGATCTCCTGAGGTGGGTCTTACGAAGACAATAGGCCTGGAATCCAGACTTGACCTCTGACTTCCTTGAGTCTTGCAAGGGGTCATGTTAGGGTGCAACTTGCATCTGGGAAATAAGTGCTGATGCTGTGAGTATGAAGGCTTAGGAGCTTACACAGAAGAGCCTTCCATATTTGCCATTAGCTTCAGTTAATTCCATCATATAATTAAAGGTAATGAGAAGGATTGATATATATTACTACTTTATTTCTTAATACTTTGAGAGGTTTTTATAGTCATAGTCTGTTAGGAATGTTAATGCCTCCACGAGGATCCTGTATTAACCGGCAGCACAATCTGTTATGATAGTCATTTTATTTCAAGGTAATTTTTTTTATCTCATGTGTTTCCAGAATAAATAGGTAGAGGAATCTCTTCTACACCCACATCAGTAAATAGCTTACTTATCAAAACCTAGGCATCAATTTTTGTCTTCTTTTAATCAGAAGATAATCTTGTGCTTTCTTGCCAGGACAAGAATCCTATTTTGTTTCTTGTTCTTAAGACATCTCTTTTGCAAAGTCAATAATAGTTTAAAGCAATCTGGATGATTTGTACTTATCAAAACCTGGAACATAATTCCTAAGAGTCTGACTAACATCAGAATTAAAAACTTGCCAGTTCCTCCAAGGGGTTAGCAGCAATCTTAATGATTCTGATGTTATGTTTTAATACCATAAACAAATAATAAAAGTACCATCTGAGTAAGTGGGCTCATGATTAAATACATATTTCACTTTCTGCCTAGTACAAAGATGAGGGAGAGAGAGGGTTCAAGTTAGGAATGGAGTCAGTCTAAAGTAGGGATGGCATATTAATTGCCATAAAATTAAAATACATTTTTATTGCTGTTTATAGAAAACATACTCTTTGGCAGAAAGTTCACAAAGACAAGCAGGAAGAGAATTTCACAGAATTAGGTCTAAAGAAAATTGTGAGTAGATGGCAAAAAATTTCTATAGGTCTGTACGTTTGGCCATTAAATCCAAACAGGCAAACAAGTCCTATTTAAAACTACATTTGTGAAAACAATATGTTCAAATTCATCATATTGGATTATGATATTATTAGATAATTCTAGAATAATTTTTGTTTTTACCAACATTCAAATATAGATGTTAAACATGTACAGTATTCAACCCTATTTTTTGTCCTGATGTTTTATATATTGATTAAAGTTAAATTTAGCTCCTTTTTCTAAGTTATTTTGCTTTCTAGGCTTAGACTTTTTATGAAACTTTAAAAATTCAAACACTAATTCTTTTAACATGTCAGTATGATCTATTTGCAATAATTTGAAGACCTTTTTGATAATCACCTCTCCTTTTTGACCTGAACAGGCTGTTTATTCCCTAATTTGCTAGGAATCTGGGCCTGGTCATCTCGTGGAAGAGGCCAGTGGGCAGAGCACTGGGCTGAGGGGAAGGTGTTAATGCCACAGAGAACACCGAATGGCCTGTGTCCCCCCCGGGAAGCTACCTGTCATTCCACCAGCCAGTGATTATGTATGCTGCTCTTTCTCTTAGTCTGTTTAACCAGCCCGTGAAATGATGTCATAAGTCCTTCTTAAAACCCCCTAATAATTGTTTATACGTTCCTGCCTTTTATCTTCATAGAAGTCTGTGCTTTCCACTGAAGTCATTGTAAACATGGGGTCCTTGGATCACATCGTATAAATCCAGATGGTCCTACCATTCCTTCTTTTTTCAGGAAGTGAGCACTGTGCTTTCACAGCAGGTTGACACCAACTTAAGTTGCATTCATATCACTGGAAGCCATAGATCATTTTATGGTGTTTTTCCTCATAGAGAGGGATACGTAAGTCCACTACTTATCGTAGTGTTTGTACATGGCAGACGTGTGATAAATATCTTCAGAACCACTTTGGTTCTTTCTTCAGATGGAAAAGCACTCCTTGCTATTCAATGTCTTTCAAGGAAGACAGCATAATTCTAACAAAACAACTTATTAAGGTATTTTTGGAAAGAATTCTTGATGAGGAGGTCCTGTGTCCACTTTTGCTCTTTCAGATATTTCTTCAGATGGTTGGTGTGATTGCTGTGGCTGTGGCCGTGATTCCTTGGATGGCGATACCTTTGGTTCCTCTCGGCATCGCTTTCATTTTTCTTCGGCAGTATTTCTTAGAAACATCAAGAGATGTCAAACGCCTGGAATCTGCAAGTGAGTATGGAGATTCTTGGGTTGGTAGCAATGCCAGCTTGCTTCTGTTCATGCCATCGTTAGAGAGATCCTCCTGAAATTCTGCAGACTCTATCTTCCAAAATGTCTCTGATAGTAGCTAATTGAATATTTTGGCTCCCATGAGTCAGTGTGGCCCCTAGGGCCAGGGAAGCTGGTGGCATGCCAGGTGTAACTTTGCAGTTTAGAGCTGGGGAGGAGTGAAGGGCGCGTGAAGGATAATCGTATTGCATGAGAATATGAGCACTGGGGAGATGTGGACCGTTCTGTTTTGTTCATGACTTCCTTCTTTATGCAAAGCAGTCACTTGACAGGCGTTTTTCAGAGAAATAGAATATTATATTGGAACTACAGGGAAATGATCGAGATAGTTTACTTTTCTTGAAGGCTAGAAAAGGAAAAACTGTTTACAGAAAAGAAACGAAGGGTCAGAAGTACACTTATTTCAGAATAAACGTACAAAAGAACCTCCATAGCTGACCACCTCCGTACATCAACCACCTCCTCAAGTTGACCTAATTTTCATAGACTGGACATGCACCACCTGTGCATATCAGTCCAGCAGGCCTAGCTCCTTATGTTAACCACCTCTGTATGGTGACCAGTTTGTTATGGCCTCTTGGGTAGTCAACTTAACTTATAGAGGTTCTACAGTATTTGGAAAATATATTACTTTGGCACACTCAAAAAATGGCTAATTAATTGCAGTCATTAAATGTTTTGAATAGGAAAGGTTGTTGTTATCTACTCCCCTTTATTATCTATCAGTGGTACTTGGTGGAATTTTACACTCTGAGGTCACCCTCCACCCCACAGGCGGTTCATCTTCTTCAGAGAGAGATGAGTTTGCAATGCATTTAGTCTGTTACCCTATTTGACTTCCTAGTTTCTGGATAATGGGGAAAGCATTTTATGATTAATCACTCTATTCCATCTGTAATCACAGGGGTTGAACTTATCTACAGTTCATCTCATTATGAAGCCTACATTAACATATTATTACCGAAACAAAAAAATCATAAGTAGAGTAGAATTGTTATTTAAATTAAAAAAAAAAAAACAGACGGACAAGATCCAAAAAGTAAAGAAGGAAGATATTTGTATCAGAAAACTTATTGTGGACAATTACTACAAATGAATGCCGGCCCAGGTTTGTGGAAGCCAAGCCATAAAATGAATCATATTTAGTCCCGTGGTTCTGTCAGTATCTACTGGTTTTTAGTCCTGGTTCTGTCAGTATCTACTGTGTGGGAAATAAGTTTATTGCTGTGGCATGTATTTGTTTCTTTTCCAACAATATGCTCTGAAGAGGTGTTTCGTGTAAGTGTCTACATAAAGGAGAGTGGTGGCAGTTTCAGAAACGCTATCAAAAATTTTTCCAGTCCTCATGGGAGCTAACTAAACTTCCGTTAGGCTTGGTTTGTGAGGTGTTCCAGCAGGAAGGGGAAAGAGCAAGGTCCCCTCTGCTGGCCTGACAGGTTACAGGGAAGGTGGACCATTCATGATCAGGGTTGCTGGGAAACCTTTCTTCATGTGTTGTGTTGGCCCCCGCCTGTTTCCTATGTAGACAAGTCAACAGACATTTTATCATTCAGGATTACTCATGAAATTCAGCAGTCATTTTGGAAAGGAGGGTGCTTTCAAGGAAGGGTCCAGAAGGAGTGCATTGGTGTAGATTTTTGTGTGTGAAAGGGCCACTTCCCGTGCTTTAAGGCTTTTTTCCAGAAGCGGTGTAAGAGTTCCTCTCTTGAATCCTAGCACATACCCTAAAGCTTGAGAACATTTTCTTTTTGTTTTTTGAGACAGTCTCAAGCTGTTGCCTGGGTAGAGTACTGTGGCATCATAACTCACAGCACCCTCCAACTTGTGGGCTCAAGCGATACTCTTCCCTCAGTTTTTCTGTTTTTAGTAGAGACAGGGTCTTGCTTTTGCTCAGACTGGTCTTGAACTCATGAGCTCAAGCTATCCACCTGCCTTGGCCTCCCAAAGTGCTGGGATTACAGGTGTGAGCCACCACACCCCCCGAAAACATTTTGACTTGGAAATTCTGAGAACTTTGTCGTGTTTCTGTGGAACATGTTGGTTTTCCTGCACCCTGGTTGCTATAACAACAACTTCAACATGGATATTACCCTTTCTGTGTCCCCAGGTGGCCAGTTAATTAGAACTCTGTTGTATCCTTCTGGGTGGTATGTTTATACCTTAAATCTGTGGTCCCCAACCCTGGGCTGCAGACCAGTACTAGTTCACTGCCTGTTAGGAACGGGGCCACCCAGCAGCAGGGGAGCAGCTGAGGGGCAGGCAGAGCTTTGTCTGTGTTTACAGCTGCTCCTCATCACTCACATCGCTGCCTGAGCCCCGCTTTCGTCAGATCAGCAGCAGCATTGGATTCTCACAAGAGCAGGAACCCTACTGTAAAGTGTACACATGCGGGGTGTAGGTTGTGCGTTCACTGTGAGAATCTCATGCCTGCCGATCTGAGGTGGAGCTGAGGCTAGCACTGGGCAGTGCTTGTGAATGCAGGTTATCACTAGCAGAGATGTTTGACTGCAGAGACTATAATAAACCAATTACTTGTAGACTCATATCAAAACTGTCCCCCTCTTCACCCCTCACCCTCCCCTTGTCCATGGAAAAATTGTCTTTCGGCTCGGCGCCTATAGCTCAACTGGCTAAGGCGCCAGCCACGTACACCTAAGGTGGCGGGTTCGAATCCCCAGCCCGGACCCACCAAACAACAATGACGGCTGCAACCAAAAAATAGCCGGGCGTTGTGGTGGGCGCCTGTGGTCCCAGCTACTTGGGAGGCGGAGGCAAGAGACTCGCTTGAGCCCAGGAGTTGGAGGTTGCTGTGAGCTGTAACGCCATGGCACTCTACCCAGGGGGACAGCTTGAGGCTCTGTCTCAAAAAAAAAAAAAAAAAGAAATCTTAACCAATTGGTAGTTGATGATAATTTTTAAAAAATTTTTGCAGCAGTGAACATAGCAACAATCAGACATAGAAACCTGGTCTGGTGTTTCATTCATTCATTCACATCTTCATTCATTTCACAATGCCTGAATTGTGAAGCTGTATCCAAGTTCTGTCTGTGAAGATGCTGTGAGCCACTAGCCATCACTAGCCACAGGTGTCTGGCCTAGGCAGTATGAACCCACATATCATGTGTATTCAGACTTTAGACCCTCGAGTCTGCTCATGCCAGATGCCTACAATCTCTGTTCATCTTAAGTGCTTAATAAGAGCTATAGGAATAGGGGAGGCTGTTGGATGTTAGCTATGTAAGATTTTGCAATTTTCTAAAAATGGGGTACAAAGTGTGGAGAGACTCAGTGATCCAGGAGAGTCTTTAACTTTAGTTGATCCAGGAGAGTCTTTAACTTCAGTTAGTCTCCCTCCAACATAATGCTGTTCACACTAAAATCACAGCCTTGGGAATAAGACAGACTCTGCCATTTACTCAGGTTAATCTCCTTAATCTTGGGCAGTATTCTAAATACCTCAGTACTAGGCTGGGTGTGGTGGCTCACACCTGTAATTCTAGCCCTCTGGAAGGTTTGGTGGGTGGATTGCCTGAGGTCACAACTTGGAGACCAGCCTGAGCAAGAGCGAGACCTTTGCTAGTTGTCTGGGAGGCTGAGGGAGAAGGATCTCTTGAGCCTAAGAGTTTGAGGTTGCTGTGAGCTGTGATGCCACAGCACTCTACCCAGGGCAATAGAGTAAGACTCTGTCTCCAAAAAAAAAAAAAGCTTCAATGCTGTTTTCCCCTGTCAGATATAATAGTACCTGTCATGTGGGGTTTTGTGAGGGCTGCCTGAGACAAGGGTTGGAATGGGCACTAGAACTTTGACCCAAAGAAGACTAACAAAGGCACCAGTGCCTGGAACACGGGAGAGTTAATAGCATAATAATCATCAGTGGGTTTCAGGTAGCATCAGTGATACCTAAGCTAGACTCTCAGCTCCCAGGCCACTTCACACCCTGCTTCTTCCCAGGGAAGGTGTGTACAGCGCGTCTCACAGTCCTCACCCGCACGTCAACTCAGCTGTGGGTCTTGGGAAGTGGCAGGTCATGTCCATCAGGAGTTGGCAGCTAATGATCCGTGTCATCTGGGTCTCCTTCCAGGTAGCCCGGTGAGTCTAGGGAAGAGGCCGCAGAAGCAGGAGCCTTTGTGTGTGCCCTCCTTGGGGACTCAGCAGTTGTCTTTGTGGACCCCCAGCTCACCCCACCCATATCCCATTCAGCCCTAAGTGGGATGTGAAAGAGATGGGATAATTTTTTTACAGGTACCTCTTCCTGTTGTACCTTGGTAACTCAAGTATGAGTTAAAGTAAGGGAGTTGGGCTTCAGATTCTTCCCTGGTGTTCAGGGCTGGGATGACACCTAACTTTTCAAGCTGACCCTGCCCTGAAACTTAGCCAGAGATAACAGTGGCGACTTGAGTCTCCTGATAAGGAAAACAAGTGACAATAGCCAAGCTGTAGAATTTCCTTCAAGAACTCTGCCTGGTGATCCTCACATCTCCTTTCGTAGTTGCATTGTCTGTATTGAAACTGTTTATGGCATGAAACTGCCCTGTTGGGAGTGAGAACATAGTTCTAGTAAGTTTCCAGAGCTGTTTGGAGCTGACTTTCTTGGTGCAGGTGATGGGGCCTGGAGTTTTCTGGGGTTATCCCTGGAAGCACGCTATTTCCAAGTCCAGAGCAGCGTGGAGTGTCTGATGTGGTGTGTGAATTAAAGGCCTGTGCAGAGCTCCCAGCCTTTCTTGTTTGGAGGATGAGCTCAGGCCTCTCACTGTGTTCCTGCCATCTCAGAACTGCAAAGTCAAAGCTAAAGTAACTAGTAAGAAACCATTACTGAGGCCAGGTGCGGTGGCTCACGCCTGTAATCCTAACACTCTGGGAGGCCAAGGTGGGCAGATTACCTGAGCTCAGAAGTTCAAGACCAGCCTGAGCTAGAGAAGACCCCCATCTCTTAAAATAGCCAGGTGTTGTGGTGGGCGCCTCCTTCAAGAGAATCACTTGAGCCCAAGAGTTGAGGGTTGCTGACTCTACTAGGGCAAGAAACTGAGACTCTGTCTTAAAAAAAAAAAAAAGAAACCGTTATTGAGTACACTGCAGAGAGAGGGTGGTGTGGGTGCCGCAGGAAGACCACCAGCATGCAGCCGGGCAGGCAGAGCCACCCTAGAGTGGCTGATTAGATACGAGGGAAATGTCAGGTTGTGGCTTGGTGGTGAGTTTGCGCTCAGGGAAGGTCCTATTTCTTAAAGCAGTGTCACAGGATAGAGTTAGTGTCCCAGGTCAGACATCCTACTCAGAGAAGAGCCCCCAGGAGGGGAGACGGTCAGTGGGCCGACAGCCCAGCCTTGTTCCTCACCCCAGGCTTCCCACCTTCCTGGAAGCCCAGGGTCTCATGCGTGGCTGCCGGCTTTCTCCTTGTTTGCGGTACTGGGTATGACGAGGCTGTTCCCCGGCACTCCAGTGCCCGTGAACATGTGCAGGGCCTGGGTGCACAGTGAGCACATCCGCACTGAGCCAGTGTCACTCTCAGGGGCTGGACCGAGGAGCTCACCCCAGTAATAAGTAGGAGGTTTCCCCCTGGCCTTTTCATTCCCCTCTGTTACTTTATCAAACTTAAGCAGCCTCATATAAGATAAACTTCCCTTCTCCCAAACACCCTGTGGTTTACTAATCAGTCTCCTCTGGGAGTCACACAGAGAGATCCATCAGTATTTCCTACTCACATCCCCAGTTACTCGCCTGGATCAGAATGTTAGATGATGTGCTGGGTCAATGCTCCCTCTCTGGTCCTGCCCTGGGACACCCCCTGTCATGGTGGAGACTGACACCTCAGGGGCCCGTCCCTGCCCTGGACTCCCCCCTGATCCACAAGAGGGCTATACGCCCCGGTGGTCCTAAAACAGTGTGCTCAAAACAAATGACCAAGTGTGGGACACCAGGCGTCAGCCAAAACGAAGTTACATTAAAGAGCTTTCTGAATTCTATGAAGTCATTGAAGCCACTGATGCCACAGTGATGTTCTGTAAAGGTTAATGGCATGTGCCACAGTCCCCTCCAGACGTCAGGACAAGTTTTCAGCAAGGCAGTTATAAAAATGTCTGTTGGTTTGTGGAGCTGAAGTCTGGACCATTCAAAGGTGTCTTGACTGGGCAGGTCCTGTGAGCACAAAAGCAGCACCATGGCAGGTGAAGGTGACCTTATGGGACTTCTTGCCCAATTGTGCACACAAGAGTTCCTTGGATGCAGGGGAGGTGACCACTTGTCCGTTCAGCTCGCTTACTGAGCACTGCCTGTGCCAGGTACTATTCTAGTTACTAGGCTGTAATGGCTGCATCCCAGCCCCTTAGGAATTGATCATCTAAGATGGGGACAGATACATGAATGGCTAATTATAATTCATGGTGAGTGCTCTAACAATTATTTTTTAAAATGCTACTGGCTAGAAATCATTGAGGAATTTGTGTCCTAAGATTTCAGGTAAGAATATGGAGGGGAGGACCTTGAAGGATCAGTCATCAAAAAAAGTATAGGCTCGGCGCCTGTGGCTCTAGTGGCTAAGGCATTAGCCACATACACCTAAGGTGGCAGGTTTGAATCCAGCCTGGGCCTGCCAAACAACAATGATGGCTGCAACCAAAAAAAATAGCCAGGCGTTGTACGGGTGCCTGTGGTCCCAGCTACTTGGGAGGCAGAGGCAGGAGACTCACTTGAGCCTAGGAGTTGGAGGTTGCTGTGAGCTGTGATGCCATGGCACTCTACCCAGGGGGACAGCTTGAGGCTCTGTCTCAAAAAAAAAAAAGAATGATAACTAGATCTGAATTTCGACAAAGATCAAACAGAGACTTTCATTTCTAGCTCCTAAAAGTGCAATGTGGTTTGATGAAGAGTTTGAGGTTAGACAGTCAAGGTCCCCCGCAGGCCCCTGGGAACATTTTTCTCAAAATGAAAGCCCCAGGGAGCCATGGCAGGAAGTGTGACTGCAGAGCTGGAAGGCCGGTTTCCCTGCACCCAGCCTCGCTGAGCTCGCTTTGTTTTCTCTCTTGTCTGTCTCCTTCTACAGCACGGAGTCCGGTGTTTTCCCACTTATCGTCTTCTCTCCAGGGGCTCTGGACCATTCGCGCATACAAAGCTGAAGAGCGGTTTCAGGAGCTGTTTGATGCACATCAGGATTTACACTCAGGTACCATTTCTGCACATGCTTTCATAGGCCAGGACCTGTGCTCTCCTGCCTCCTTCCTGCTGAGCGGCTCGTGTGGTCCTGCCTCCTTCCTACTGAGTAGCTTGTGTGGTCCTGCCATCCCTGCCCCCTGTGGCTTTCGGTCTCTTCCGGACAGGGAGTCAGCAAACTTTTTTTGCAGAATGTCATCTGGTACCTGTTTTAGCCTTTGTGTGCAATGTCCTCTGTGTTACAACTAGTCACCTTTGCTGTCATAGCACCAAAGGGGGCATAGATAACACACCAGCAAATGGCCAGGGTTGTGTTTTAATAAAACTTTATTTATAATAGCAGGTGACAGCCCATTGGCTATGTTTGCTGAGCCTTGCTTTAGAGCAGTGTTTTTCATTCTTTTTTATCTCATAGAACATTTGAAGCTCTTAAGTTAAACTTTTGCAGCAAACTTATGTTGATCCAAAGAGTTAAAAAAGGAATATATTTATTGTGCTTTGAACTTCTTTCAAACACAATTTAATTACTGATCTTTAAAATTTTTCACTGCACACCTGTGAGCCTCTTACAGCACACCACTGGGCTGTGGAAACACCAGTTGTTGTTTTTTTTTTATACAGTTGAAAATCATTACTTTGGAGCATACAGAGGAAATGAGCACCCCAATGATCATATCTGCCACCCACTTGACGACAATTATTCTTGGCACTAGTGTAGGTTTTTTCCCTTTTGAAACTTGGGAATTTTCTCTAAATCTAAAACTCTGGCCCATCTTTTTAATTCAGTATTTATTGTATTTTGGTGATGACATGACACTTGCAAAATCACATGCAGATCCTTTTAGTGTGGTAGTTTTTAGATATCGCCCCTAAGCAATATCTTCTGTGTGCTGGGCCCTCTAGTGTGGATGGAAGGAGCTGAAAGTAAATTGGAAGCTAAACTCTTTGCAGTTGGAGAATCGGGAACAGTCAGCTCTGTGAGTGGGTGAACTTCACATTAATGCCCAGGACCTTTAAGAGATGCGCTTATGAGAGCGTTTCTCTGTTATTTACCATGATCCTGTTTCTGTTCATAGCCTCTGTGTTGAATATTGAATGCATCTTTTCTCAGAGTACGGTACTGTCCTCTGTGTGCCATGCATCACCTTGTATCTCTCAGCTCTCTGGAATCTGCGGTGTGCTTGGGTGTGCAACTTCACTGCCCTACTCTGTATGAAAATCTTTAGGTCAACAGAGTAGAACACTCCCTTATATTCAGTGCAGTTAATGTGGTTTTTGTATTTGTTCATCTTGCTTATTATGGTTCACAAATTCAGAGGCTTGGTTCTTATTTCTGACAACGTCCCGATGGTTCGCCGTGCGTTTGGATGCCATCTGTACCATTTTTGTGATCGCTGTTGCCTTTGGGTGTCTGCTTCTGGCAAAAAGTAAGTACAGATGTGAATAACTGTGTGTGGTGTGATCACACCACACATAGACTGTAGCTATGTTCACAGTTATTAAATTCACTCACCTCTAGCTACTTTGTCTGATATTACATGAATATACTTTTTGGTTCTACTGCAGCGTATTTGAGCATTTATTGTTTTTCAGGTTGGGTGTGATTCAGCAGTGTGACGCATTTAAAGGAGTCATTTGGGTCTTGCTGAGTTTATTTCATCTTTCTCTGAGTGGATTGAACTTGCTCAAATGATATTCTGAGCATTTCTGGTAGTGGCTGGGAATTGTTTGCTATTACGTTAAGTATTTTGTCTAGCTTAGGGCTTCAAGTTTTACCTTTTGGATCACTTAGATCTGTTGGTTGTAGTTACCTTGTGCATTAGGTTCAGAAAGAGTCTTAGCAGGAAAGGGCATTACCATTACCACCACCGGGTACCAGACAAGCAGGTGCTGGTGGGCGGGGCATGAATTCCCCATCCCTGACTCTTCCATGGTAATAACACGGACTTACCATATTTAATGATGGAACAATGAGAGGGGCATTTTAATCTTAAAAATAATTGGCCCTTAGGACCTAGTGCCTTGTTTTTAGTGGTTTCCAACTGTGGTTGCGTTGGATATAGAGTGTGGAATTACATCACGGTCTTTGAAACCATAATGACGATTGTCTTGAATAATGACATTAGTCTTCATGTATGTTATACTCTTTTTGTAAGTGTACATTTATCTTGTTGGCATTCATAAGCTCAGTAATCTTTTTGAATTTACAATTGCTATTTTTTCATTGCATCACGATTTAAACCAACAGAAAGTAAAAGTATAACTGTTACTCTCGTTCTATGCAAAGTGTTTAATCGTTACGGTGGGACCCTCTGGGTCGTGTGTCAGAGGGAGCAGGCTCAGGCTCAGGATGAGGCTGACATTTTTTCTTTCTTCCACCTCCTTTAGCTTTGGATGCTGGGCAGGTCGGCTTGGTGTTGTCCTATGCCCTCACCCTCATGGGGATGTTCCAGTGGGGCGTTAGACAAAGCGCTGAACTTGAGAATATGGTAACGTTTATCTTAAGGTTCTCAACCCTTTCAAGTCTCTCTGCTACTAAATGGCATAAAAGCAGTTCTTATGTAAAATATTAAACTGTTATTTTTACATCGTAGCTAACGTTTTTTCCAGATCCTTCCTCCATCTGTTTAAAGTTAACGTAACATAAAATGTATACATCTTCTCAGCCTTATGTGTGCTATGTCAGCAGGTTTCATATTCCTCACAAGCTGTCCTCAAATGTAATAAATGTCTCTGTAGGAGGGAGGTTCGGAAATTCTAGAGAGGACATAAGCTAATTTCTTAGAGGCTTTTTATTTTTGTTTCTTAATGGGTATTTCCTCATTCCTGATAAAAGTGGAATTCCGTATTTCGAGGTTGTTTGTTTAATTAGTAAACAAGCTCTCTACCAGTGAACGGAAGGTGGGAGGCTGACCTGATAGGACAAGCCCCATTTTGGAGTGTTCCAGTCATGGGCATCAGGGTATGGCTGTGGAGGGGGCGTCATCAGCATTTTAAATATTTGTAAAGGGAGAACAACGTGAAACTGAAATCTTTGTATTTTTCTCTTCTCATGGAGCAGAAGGTTATAGTAAGGTTTGCTGACCCTCCGGTTAATATATTTGTTTATTTGAGACAGAGTCTCATTCTATCACCCCAAGTACAGTGTGATCATCACAGCTCACAGCAACCTCAGACTCCTGAGCTCAAGTGATCCTCTTGACTCAGCCTCTCAAGGAGCTGGGACTACAGACACTGGCCACCACACTAGGCTTATTTTTCTGTTTTTAGTGGAGATGGAATCTCTATGCTGAGGCTGTTCTCAAAGTCCTGAGCTTAAGAGATCCTCTTGCCTCAGCCTCCCAGCGGGCTGGGATTATAGTGTGAGCTACCGCACCCAGCCCCAAATTAACTGGTGTATATAGCAGGTGGCTTTCTATAGCAAAAGTATGTCTTTCTTTTACAAAGTCATTGCCTTTTATTCAGATATGAAAAGTGGATAAATAAAATCTAAGCATTCATTTCTGTAATGCTTTTCGTTTTAATGTAATGTTGAGAGAAGTAGCCGTATGTGAGATGTGAGGGTGTAATACAGTGACAAATAAGTTAAAGTCTTCAGCAGTCTTCTCCTCCTGTCCTTCGGGGTCTAAAGACCTGAGTTTTTCTTAACCAGCTGGGCATAAAAGGGGACCATTTCATTGGCAGTCTCTTAACATTCGTAAACGAGACCTTCCATTCCTAACCTGTGTGGGCGCCTTATCTCTTTTAGATGATTTCTGTGGAAAGGGTGATTGAATATACAAATCTTGAAAAAGAAGCCCCTTGGGAAACCCAGAAACGCCCGCCTGCGTCCTGGCCCCATGAAGGAATGATCATCTTTGACAATGTCAACTTCATGTACAGTTTAGATGGGCCTGTGGTACTCAAGCACCTGACAGCACTCATCAAATCACGGGAAAAGGTTCGTTTCAACCATCTTGCCTCTTTAAAATTTCAGCTACAATTCAGGACCATATCTGCTTGTCTGCTTCCTTGTAAGCACATCAAGGGGATTTTCTGTTCTTCTGTGGATGCAAATTAGATTAGTGACAATGTAAGTAAATCTGTCTTGGCTAATGATCGTGAAATGTGGGTGCCATAATTTCTTTTTTCGTTTTGTGGTTTTTGGCCAGGGCTGGGTTTGAACCCGCCACCTCTGGCATATAAGGCTGGCATCTTACTCCTTTGAACCACAAGCACCGCCCTGAAGGTGCCATAATTTCTTTATTCATGCTGTGAGCTGGTGGTTAGTGTCCCCTGGAGTCCAGGGGTAGAATTTGTCCTGACCCCCAATACTGCCTCTGACAGCTATTCATGGCATGCTCTAGAGGTCCGTCCTGGCTCCTTGTCCCTAACCCTGCCATGTCTAGTTAGATCAGCCCTTTCTTCATTGTATTTCCCAAGTCTTTCTCTTCTGCACTGCAGCAGCTCCCATTCTAGCCCTTCTCCTCCTCCACCCCTTGGCCAGTTACTTAGTCACTTAGTCTTTCTTGTCTGACTTTAACCTACACTTCCCTTTTGTTCACCTACCCTTCCACTGCAGACCATTTAT